TGGAATCGTGCATCTACCACTGTGATAGACTCAGCTGTTTGTGTTACTGCAAATACTGCATTCAGAAGATATATAACAATAAAACATACAAAGAAGATAAAAAAGTACCAAAATTATATTGTTGTTCCATCCAACCAAAGCCCTGCTGACATTAAATTACTACAGGTTACAACTGTCCAAGAGCTGGAAATGCCCTCAAGAAAGGACCCCAGSAGTTTTCAAATGTATCATATGATGGTTTAAGTGAAAATTTAAGGTTTTCAGGTTAAAGACAWCCCATAATATGTTGTAGCGACTGCAACTGAAAGGGAGAAGAGGCATCTTTTCATTTAAATAAGACCGCACAACGAGACAAAAGCAATGCAAACCCTATGGAATGTTTAGCAGTGGATGAAACAGATCTATCTTATAAAACCCTGAAAAGAGCTGCTAATGGGTTTGGTTCTAATTTAACATCAAACAAATGAGATAGTATGTGATGAGATGATGAGATTTAATYCCTGCTCTAAATATTCGCTGTCTTATTACTGCTGTCAAAATGTGTGGTTGCCAGGATGATATTAATGAGCCACCGATTGTATCTCGGTTCTCTTTACATTTCTTAAAAATCAAAACAGAGACATTTTTGAGCTTATTTAAGCAAAAGTAAGCCTAAAATTAATGTTGAGATTCATAAAAGAAAACTGTTGGAATTTAGGACAGGAGCTATTGCAGCATCCTTCAAAATGAATTCAGAGATGTTCTAGTTTTTACTATGATTCACAGCTTAGATTAGCTGTGAATCAGCCAATTATTCACAGCTAAAACGTTAGATAAAAGTCCTAATTGTGGCAAAAATTGTCAAATCTTATGGTCTGCTGGTGAGAAATAAATCTCTATACATTTTTTAAATGTCTTTGAGATGTTTCTCTTTTATTTTTTATAATTTGTTTTTGTTTTATTACTTTAATACATTCTAGCATGCTATTTATTTATTTATTTTACAAACAAAAATGAAATCTGTTTTATTTCTGGTTTATCTATCTATCTATCTATCTATCTATCTATCTATCT